TGTGCATGCCCAAGATCCCAAGAGGAGAATGAAGGAGAAAGGATTGCGGTGTGGCCATCCCCCCTGGGGGGGGGATTTCTCGCTTTCTGTTTCTCTGTCTCTCTCTGTCTCTCTGGTGAGCGCACGTGTCCTATAGCAAAAACCTCTCTAAAAATAAAAACTAAATAAAAAATGAAAAATAAGTTATGAAAAAGAAATAAATTATGTAATAAGAAATTTCAGTGAAATTGTCACTGTGCAGCTTCAATTCTAGTATTAGAAAATAATTTACATATCATTAAAAATATATAATCATATATCCTATATCAAAACAGGTTTAATTCTTCCTTTATGATAGATAATTACATATCTCTATGTAATTTATAAACTCATAACTGAATGAGTTGCATACATACAATTGTTCACTAGTGTAAGACAAGAAAAATAACCACATACCTCAATAATTCACTCCCAGTAAACATTTGATTAATGAGAGATAAGTTCATTTTTCTCTTAGTTATTTGCTATCAAACATGAATTGAGGACTTCCCAGAGAGTTGAGAAAAATGAACAGCAACAAAACCACATCAGTAGGAGAACTGCTGTAAATTAGATATTTGGAGATCATTTAGAATTTGGTTTCCCAAATTAACAAATAATAAATATTATTATTAATACATAATAATTAATACATTATATTATTAATATATAATCAACATTATTATATATTGATATATTATTATTACATGAATACTACATTATATAATACATAATGTTTTATGTTAATATAAAATATTTTAAAATAAATATTGTGAATAAAATAAGCATGGTTCATTCAAAAAAAATCTCTTCACTTCAAGATGAAGATGGAACTAGTTTGAATTCAAGTATCCTGGCAGCCCTCCGAAAAATGCAGGATGGCTACTTTGGTGGGGCAAGGTAAGTGACCTGTATACATTCTAGTGAAATGAAATTAAATTTGAGAGCTGGGTATAGTAAGAGAAGACTTGTGATGCCTTTCTTTGTATCTTCAACAACACAATCTTATCCTACTCAGAGGAGCTAATCCTTGAAATGGATTGAATCAAGGAATTTCATGTTAAACAAGAAGATTGAAAGATTTTCCATCCTGTTTTTTTGCCTAGCGCTCAGAGGATTAGAAAACATACTCTTTCAGAAAAGAGGAAACTGTTGAATTATTCAATTCTGGTCTACATGCCATGTACTTTCTCTGATCTTTTGGGATGAATTCTGATAAACACTTGTGGCTTCCTTAGACAGATACTGCTCTGCTGTTTCAGGCAGCTAGTGTATTCAAATGCAAACTGCTTTCATCACTATACAATTGAAGCCCACGAAACAGTATTTCTGCATGTGTCTAAAGGTCACCATGTTTTGCTCAGATTTGCCTTTCCACACTTTTTTTTCCCCTAAGTTTTTATTTTGAAAAAAAAAGTTTTTTTATTTCCTCTGTGTGAGAGAGAGAGTGACATCCCCAACAGGGCCCTCACACTGTGATCCACCCCCAACTCCAGCTAGCCAGGATCAGTTGTGCATGTGCAAACGTTTGTACAGGGAGACCTCAGGACATGAATCTAGGACTTTCCTATGTGGCTTCAGTGTCATGGAACATTGCATCATCACTGCATTATCACAGCTGGCCAATTTTGAAAATTTTTAAATTTATAGAAATTGGTAAGAATAGTACTAAATGTCCACATACCCTTTCTCAAAATTCACCTGTTTTATTTTGTCTCACTATGCATTGTCTCTCTCCCCCTTCCCTCTCATCTTCTCTACCCTCATCTTCCACATATATATGTGCACATAAACACATACAATGTATTGGGTCATTGTAAAAGTCATGATATGTTTTTCTATGCAAAAATGCATCATGACTTTTCCAAAGACCCCATACTATATATACATAATAATACATATATGCTTTTTTGCTAAGAGAGTTAACCATAAACATCATGATTTTTCAACCTTAAATACTTCAGTTTCTATTATCTAAGAACAATTATATTGTATAGAAGTACAATATAATCATCACACTTGGGGAATTTCATGTTGATAACACTACCTTATACAGAGTCCATATTCCAAATTACCCAACTGTCCCAATGTTTTTCCATAGCTTTTTCTCCATTCCAGGATCCAACTAAAGATCACACATTAACATTAAGTTGTAGTATTTCTTTTAATCTAGAACAATTCTCCCAGTCTTTTTTAAGCATTCATGACAGTTTTCATTACATTTTTCTAAGAATGCAGGTGAATATTTAGTGGAATAGCTCTCAATTTGGATTTGTTCTGTTCATTCCTTTTGATTACATTCTGGCTAGATGGTTTTGGGAAAAACACTGCCTGTGTGATGTTGGATCCTTGCTTTAATTTAGAATTATTAAGATGGAGAGCTCCCCTTTAATGACTAGGAGAGATACAAGATGGAAATGAAGGTTTTTATTACTTACAGGTCCTGGGACAGGGTGAGAAGGTACACAGGACACCCAGAGGCCTCATACACAGAGGTCAGGGAGCATGTGGGAAGAGCAACAGACAAACAAGGATCCATGGAGCAATATTTTTATTGGGGATTGGGATCCATGGAGTTATTCAAAGTTATTCCAGATTTCCCATTGGAAATTTTAATTGGTAGATTTAAAGCAAGGAGGCATGAGTCCCAGAAAGTCACCAGTGACTGAGAGGTAGTCATTGTGCCATATCTGCATATCCCATGCAGAAACTTGGGATTAATAGGGCTAAACAAATTTATCTAAATATCTCACATGGCTATGGCCACCAGAAAGAAGTTGTATGAAGTAAATATCTGGATTGACCACACTGAGGACTAGGGGAAGTATAGAACTAGAAACTGTGTCAATGATGACTGAGCCCTGCTTCTGGTATGAAAAAGTTAAACCTATATGTAAAATGGATGCTAAGGTAACCTAAAACTGTAAGAATTAACTACAGTCCTTCTCAGTACATCATATTAGGAAATACATGAGATTGGTTTGTCATATTATTGATAATGTTAACCTTGATCACTTGATTGAAGTAGTGCTTGCTTGGTTTCTTCACATCTCTTCCCCAACAGTCTTTGACTAAATGGTGTTCACTTCCATGATTTTTTCATCAAATAGTTATTATTAATGGGGTTGTAACATGATGTTTCTGTGTTTCTATCATTCTTTACACATTAGTTGGAATTCTTAGTTTTAAAAGAGCTTTTATTTCTTCACTTTTTATTTTGCAGTTTAGTAAGAGTAGAGATTCATGGAACTTTTCATTTTGCAGTTTAGTAAGAGTAGAGATTCATGGATTCTTTTTTTTCTTTTTTCTTTTTTTTTTTTTTAGAGAGAGATTTTTGCTATAGTGCACATGCACTCACCAGAGAGACAGAGACAAAAAGGGAGAAATCACCCCCTGGGGAGATGGCAATGCCATAATCCCTCCTCCTCCAGTCTCCTCCCAGGATCCTGGGGATGCACACATGTACCTGCACCTGCACCCAGTGTGAATTTCAAGTCACCAGTCCAGGACTTGAACTGTGGTCAACTATGTGGGCATCCAATGATTTAACCATTATGCCATCTGCTGGTCCCGATTAATGGATTCTTATTTTATTTGATATGTTGTGGTCTGTTTCTGTTATTATTAATTTCAGTGTTTAAATTACCTAAGATCTGGCCACTGATAGCCCTTTCAAGCTGTGTTCTTTAGTACTATTGACTTTCCTTTGGGGTTTTGCAATTGGCTATATAAGTAGGGGAGGATATGACTTACAATCTCTACAAATTATAAAGTACAATCTTTTATGTTCAAAATGGTCTTTGGGGGTATTTTTTAATGATGTGATAGATTTGTGATGAGTTTCCCTCATTCCTTCCTGGCTTCTCTAGTAGTCAATGAATTTTTTAATAAGATGTTTGACATAGTTAGCAAAAAGTATATGGCAGTAGAAGAAAGAAAAACTGACCTGCATGTAGATCATGAACCCATAATTATAGCCTTCACTAGCACAATTCCCTCATCATTTAAACTGTACACTATGCCGAGGCATGCTTTAAATTTTCACTTTCTACAAAATATATACTGATGTATGAGCAGTAGTAATCTCTCAACAAACATGCTAGGTATTTTTTTATCACTAAGATTGGATTGTTTTAAAAAGGATCACAGGGGTCCAACAGGTGGTGTCGTTATTGAGACCCTGGACTCCCACATAGCTGACCTTGGTTTGAATTCCAGATCTGGTGGCTTGCCTTCTCACTTTCCCTCTCTCCCTTTCTGTCTCTCTCTGGTCAAAATTTTAATAGTAATAATAAATAAAATTGAATAATTAATTTTTCTTGAGAGGTTTTTTCGCTATAGGGTGCTTGCGCTCACCAGACAGACAGAGAGAGACATAGAGACAGAAAGCGAGAAATCACCCCCCAGAGGGGATGGTCACGCCGCAATCCCTTCTCCTCCATTCTCCTCTCAGGATCTTGGGCACGCACGCACATGCGCCCACCGTGAGTTTTAAGCCACCGGGTCTGGGACCTGAACCGCGGTCGACTACGTGGGAGTCCAGCAACAAAGCCATTACGCTAACTGCTAGTTCCCAATAAGTAATTCTTTAAAAGGGATTTTGGGCCAGCCCATGGTCATCTAGATTCTACACGACCGACTATATGGTTTAAGTCTCTGACCCAGCAGCATGTTTTTAACAAACTGGGCACACGTGCACCCAAATTCCTGAAAAGAGGGAGAAATAGAGGACAAGGGATTGCTGCATGTCCACAGCCCACAGGGGGTGCTTTCACAGTTTCCCTTTCTATCTATCTATGGTGAGCACATGTGCCCTCTAGCAAAAAAAAATTTTTTTAAAAAATGGATCTCCCCTGATTTTCTGTTTTGTATCTACTCTCTACTTGTCAGAGTTCAAACAGGTAAACTGTCAGAATTTTTAACAACATCTTGCTGTACACATTTGAGCTTCATGGACCCTGGGCCTGAGGGTAAGCTGTACAGTGAAGATTATGATGACAACTATGATGAACTGCAGTCTGACAACTGGATAAATGGTTACGATTCAACCAGTAATGGTAAGGAGGCTTCATAAAGCACTGGCCTGGCTGGACAAGAATATAAAATATTGTTTAGCATCATCCTTAATAATTTACACTACCAGCAGTCTCACAGTGTACCACCGCCATTCCTGTTTAATACATCTAGATTTATACTTTTGTTTGGCTTCACTTTTCATCCCTCTACTTACCTTCAGATTCTAGTGTAATATCCCTGTAGTGATTGTGAAGTGTGGAGCTGGACTTTCTCTTACTAAGGTTAGGGAAGATTCTCTTCTGGGTGTTTGAAGCAGCTGGTTATTTAGAACTAGAAAGAAGCAGTAGTGAGTGAGAGATATTTAATCCAAGGATATAGGAGGAAAATTAACATATACAATATTGTTTTGACATTAAAAAGCATAAACATTAAATTTATTGGAATATTTTTGATAATATTCGAGTAGCATATCATAATTTCTAGGGAAGTCTGTGTATTGTAGTTTGAAAAAAGCCTATTAGGTATACCTAACGTTTTCACATTACAAACCAGTCAAATAAAGCACAACAAAATCAAAATCTAATTGACTACTGAGAATACAAAGATGATAAAGTAAGAAAACATTAAGGGGCATAGATTTATAATGGTTGAGAAACACTGATTTTCAATATTAAAATACAGATGTTCTTCAACTTACATTGGGGTTATGTCCCAATGAACCCATAGTAAGTTGAAAGTATTGGAAGTCAAAATTGCATTTTAATACTCCTAACCTACTGAGCCTCATAAATCAGCCTAGCATACCTTAAACATGCAGAGATCACTTATATTATCCTATAAGTGGACAAAGTCACCTAACACAAAATCTGTTTTATAATGAAGTATTGAATACTTCATGTAATTTATTAAACAGTGTACTGGAAATGAAAGCCAGAAGGGTTGTGTGGGTACTCAGAGTATGGTTTCTAGTGAACATGGATCACTTTTCACCATCATAAAGTTGACAAATCCTAAACTGAGTCATTGTAAGTCTGTATTGACCTAGGCAGAGTGAGCATTACATTGCTTTAGTCCCCAAAAGGCCAATAAGAAAATTGTTTAGCTATTTAAAACATGGTGCCTATTTTCACTGTCTGGTTATTTGATTGTAGCTGAGGGCAGCAAATTTCTTCATTTTAAGAGCAATGTGTTGGTGGGGAAAAAATTAATTTGCTTTTCTCAGTCAGATAGCAAACATAATCTCAACTGCAATAGACTAACACATTAGCAGTCAAGACGACTATTTTCTGTTTGGGCTCAGTATTTGCTCACTAAGTACCACTTCATTTACTCTGCATTTGTTTTTTTCAAGATCTAAAATAGTTTGAATTTCCTTGTTGAAGTACATTAAATTTAAGACTATTATTTACTGTTATCAATAATAACCAAGATTGTGATGTCTATTAGTATAAAACTTTGAAAATTAGACAAAATGATCATAGACTGTGGTTGTTTGCTATCCCATGAACATTGTGATTTTCATCTGTAACACTCATTCCCTTGGATTACTTTCTAAAATCTATCTTTTTAATGATACATATCACTAAGATTTTTGTTGTTGTTGATTTTTTAAGTTTTTTTTGCCATAGGTTGTATGTGCTCGCCAGAGAGAGACAGAGAGAGATGGTGAGAGAGAAAGTGAGAAATCACCCCACAGAGAGGATGGCCACACTAAAATCCCCTGTACATTCTCTTCTCTGGATTCTGGGCATGTGCAAGCACACACGCCCTGCGTGAGTTTAAGCTACCAGGTCTGGGACTCAAACCGTGGTCAACTACATGTGAGAATCCAACACCTTGATCACTATGTCACTTGCTGGCCCCACTAAGTTTTATATTATGGCATCTGATTCACTTTTCAGCCTCTGGATCTACTCATTAGTGTTCTCATAATGGGTGTGCTCATTGCTTGCCAGCCCTTCTAATGGGTAGAGAGCTTCTCTGCATATTCTTCATAATCCTCCACTCCAGTATCTATATTGTAATCAAGGTTAAAATATTTGTCATTAGGATGTCACTGAATATGAATTCCATTCTTACAGCTCTGTTAATTCCCATTAGTTACATCAGAGCACAGAAAGACATCTGGAGAGATATCATAGAGGATTGTTAGTACCTACATGATACACAACTGAGCTAGCCAACTTCAGTATTGATCTGGACAATGAGTTTTTCCAACCATAAATACTGAAAATATGAATGTAAAGTTGAAATATTAAGCATCCACAGAGAATTTGTGTGTTTTTGTTTATATTATCCATATTCAGAGATAATGTTAGACGATGGTATATGAGGTAGGGAGGACAAGAGGATAAAGATCATACCTACCTTATTCACCACTGAAACCTCAGCACTTAGTACGTTGTACAGAGTAAGCAATAAATATCTGATGAATAAACAAATGAGGTGATTAAAAAGGCAAATGTGGGGACCAGCAGTTGGCTTAATGGCTATGTCACTGGACTCCCATGTAGTTGACCACGGTTCAAGTCTCACACCCGGTGGCTCACACTCACACCTGGCGCATGTGCGTGCATGCCCAAGATCCCAAGAGGAGAATGGAGGAGAAGGGATTGTGGCATGGCTATCCCCCTTGGAGGGCGATTTCTCACTTTCTGTCTCTCTGTCTCTTTCTTGTCTTTCTGGCGAGCACATGAGCCCTATAGTAAAAACCTCTCATAAAAAAAAAGAGAGAGAGAGAAAAGAAAGGTGAATTTGTGGCAAGTAATCCTTTCTACACCAATGCTACATGAGGATTGTGTTTTCATTAGCAATTTCATAGCTGCCATTTGTATTAATAGAATCCATTTACAGCTAGGCTCAATGTTTGGTGGAAGATTTTTGCCCTTCCTCAAACCTTCATCACAAAAGTGTTTTCATAGTAATGGGACTTGAAGCACCCTCACCCTATTCTGCTCTTCCTACATCACCGCTACCACCACTACCACCACCACAAGTACCATTACATGCTCACACACACACACACACAAAGATTGTGAAATGTTTGTTCCAGCTGTCCAAGAGTAAGTTCATACTGCATCCAGTAACTCTAGCCTTGTCTCAGCAAAGCTGAATAACCAATGGGTCCTGGTAGATGACCAAAATTCCAAATCTTAAAGCTATGAGGTTGTATAATGATCACAAGTTTTGGGGTTTTTTTTGTTTGTTTGTTTTTGTTTTTGTTTTGTTTTCATGAGCTAAAAATAGCTCACGTCTGGTGCTCTGTTGTGGGCATAGGAACCACTAATTCTGTTTGCTGGGGTAGATTGTGAAGTGACTAAAATGTTCATTTTTTCCCCCTTCCCTCACTAACCTTGCAGCTCGCTGTGGTGATGAAGTTGCTCGTTATTTAGATCACCTTTTGGCGCACACTGCTCCCCATCCTAAACTTGGCCCTACCTCACAGAAGGGAGGGCTAGATCGGTTCCGAGCTGCTGTGCAAACAACCTGTGACTTCATGTCCTTGGTGACCAAGGCCAAGGAGCTGCATGTACAGAGTGAGTAATGCCATGACTCACTAGAGTCAGGCACAGGTTGACCTGAAGCCCAGAATGGGGGTGGGGTATTGATTACAAATGTAAGCAGGAACTTCGTTATGTTTACCACTTCATTCCCAGCATTTCATACAACACCTAGAACATATTAGGCACTCAAATATTAGTAAAATTAATGAATTGGGTATAGTTTTACTGAGGATAGTGCTGTGTAGTCTGGTTTTTAACCAGTAAAATGACAAGAACATGCTGAACAAGAGACATGGAGTGTATTCTATTTTAACATCAAGGTAAAGAAAATGGCAGAAAGGGCTTTTTCCTTTGGAAAAATTACTTCTTTACAAGTTATTTTGTTTAAAGAGAAATCATTGCAAAACTGTTACAAGATAGCCACACAGAGGGAGATAGTTTCCCTTAACTACATTTGATTCTCTTAAGCCAGCTATAACTTTTACAGTCAGTTGTTTCAGCAATGTAGAACTGTTTGGTCAAATACAATACTCATTCTGCACATGACCACCACTCTCCTTCAGTAGTATTTGCAGTGGAGGATATCTTCTACTGCACATTGCCAGAAGTAGTCATGATTCCTGAGAGTGTTCAGTGCCTCTGTAGTAGCCATATATGAAGGGAGAGAAGGGCTCTTTGACCATATCTAGAGGACCTTCAGGTTAACATTTTGCAGATGATGACAGTGACTGAGATGCATGCTCTTGCTGTCTAAAACTTTATTGACCATTACTAACCAAAGATATTAAACAATGAACATGAGAAGTCATTTAACATTTAGAATAAGGAAAGCTTAGCATATTGAGTATGCACCCTTGAGAAAGGGCTCGTGTGAAGAGATAAACTTTGTTAAGTTATATTTCTTGATTGTGAATTTGAAAACATAAGCTTAATTCCCAGCCGTGCTACTGACTTGCTTGAGCAGTTATTTGAGTACTGTATCTCTCTTTCTTTATCTGTAAAATGGTGAAAATGACACAGTAATCTTCCCTTAGAGATTACGGTAAGTGTCTCAACAATGAACTGTAAGTAAAAGATGATAATAATAATAATCTTAGGAATATCTCAAAGTTGGTTAGCTGCTACTTTTTTTTTTATTCCCTAGATAGAATCATCCATTCACATATTCAGAGGGAAATCCAACCACTAGCAGCCAGGTATACTCCTGGGAAAGTAAAAATATATATATACAAAAAAAGCTGGTTTCATTGTGTTATATATGGTATAGTGTCAAAGTGTCAGCAATAGCACCATTGTGGTGTGAATTACATTAGTAGAATTTATTATCTTATATGTCCAGACAGTGCTATAATTCTAGAAATTTAATTCAAAAAATATGTTTATGCATAAATTGGACATTCTTTAAATTATCTACTACTCATATTTCTTTTATATTATCAAGAAAGGAGAAATTTCTCATTTCTTGTTCTATAAAGAATTGATCCAGGGGCCAGCAGTTAGCATAATGGCTATGTCGCTGGACTCCCATGTAGCTGGCCACAGTTCGAGTCCCGGACCCGGGGGCTTAAACTCACGCCGGGCACGTGTGCGTGCGTGCCCAAGATCCTGAGAGGAGAATGGAGGGGAAGGGATTGTGGCGTGGCCATCCCCCCTGGGGCGTGATTTATCGCTTTCCATCTCTCTATCTGTCTTTCTGGCGAGCGCACACGCCCTATAGCAAAAAGCTCTCAAAAAAAAAAAAAGAATTAATTCATGTGTGACCTCATTGTTGAGGTCAGCTATCCATTTTTATCCATCTTCTAATTAACCTTTTCCATAAATGTCAATTTCTTACAGATGTTCATATGTATCTTCCTACGAAATTATTACAGGCTTCCCGGTCTACATTCAAATTACTTGATTCACCTCACCCCCCACAAGAGAACCAGGTAAATTTGCACATGAGGTTTCCTATCAGCTTTTTGCAAAAGCCATCTTTATGAGAAGTAATATAATTAGCCATTTTGGTTGCTGTTAATAACTAGCAATAGGCAAAATGCTGTCCTGATGAAAGTATATGTCCTCTTTAGTTCACTTTTAAAGTGGGCAAGTTTCTTAGTCTTTAAAGAAAACTAGACTGCTATATCATATGTCTTGAAGGTGTCATTGTTTTTACTTTGCTTTTCATGAATATTTAGAGAATTCTTATGGAAAAGGTTCAGAAGTGAAAAGAGTACTTATCCTAGGACATTATTTAAGTTGAGCACTTCTGGATTTATTTCTTTTTGTCATTTCTCAAACAAAAGGTTCCCTCTGTTCGTGTAGAAATGCATCTCCCTAGAAACCAGTCTGGGGAGGTGGACTTCAACGCACTGGTTTTACAGTTGAAGGAGACCTCAAGCTTACAGGAACAAGCTGATATCCTCTACATGCTGTATACTATGAAGTAAGTGATGGATAGTATCAGTCTACTTTAATGTTTATATATAGAAAAAGCACAGTAGTAAATAGAGCACAGGTTTGGAGATTCATTAATGTGGATTTAAATACAATTTAGCAGCCTACCCACTGTGTGACTTCAAACCCTCAATTGTCCTCATTTATAAAATTTGGATTATACCTACATCATAGAATTGTAAAGATAAAACAAGGGGGGGCCAGCAGGTAGCATGATGGTTAAGGTGCTGGACTCCCACATGGCCAACCACAGTTCAAGTCCCAAACCTGGTGGCTTTCTTTCTCTCTTTCTCTCTCTCTGTCTCTATCTCTCGCTAGTAAAATCTAAAAGAAAAATAACAATGATGATGAATAAAATTAAATAAAATAATTCTAAAGACAAAAGAAAAAAAGATGAAACAAAGTATAATATGGGGAGTCAGATGGTGAAATGATAGTACAATACAACTCTCTGTAAGACAATCCCACATAGGAAGGTTTCTAGTTCATGTCTGAAGACCTCCATTAGTATACCAGGGACATGCTTGGCCATGATCCAGGGCTGGCAAAAGGCTAGGGATGGGTTGTAGCATTGAGAGATTTGGGGGTGCACTCCATGCTCTCTCTCATGGAAGACAGAGATATATTTTTTAATTAAAAAAAGCTTTTATATGATTTTTCCTCCTTAGTCATGGGAGATACATTTCAAGACTCCCAGTGGATGCCTGAAACCACAGAAAATACTGAATTTTATATACACTATATTTTTTTCCTATACATACATGTCTATAATGAATTTTAATTTATAAATTAGGCACAATAAGAGATTAACTACAATAACTAATAATAACACAAAACAATTATATAACAATATACTGTAATAAAAGTTATGTGAATGTGGCCACTCTCTCAAAATATCTTATTGTACTGTACTCATCCTTCTTGTGATGATGTGAGATAATAAAATCAACAGCACTGAGATGAAGTGAGGAGAGTGACATATGCATTGTGACATAACATTAGGCTACTATTGAGCTTCTAATGATGTGTCAGAAGATTTACTTTAGGTGGTCTTGGAGGATTGAACCATTATGTTCTCAATGGTTGGATGTCAGGAGCAGATGATCTCAGTGGTTGAGGATCCTCAATAGTTGAAGGAGTTTTTATGCCAAAACCTTTTGGAAAAACATTGTAATCAGAAGTTGTCTCTTTCTCTTTAACTCATCAAAGTGTTGCTGCAGAGGTTGTAAATCTTCAGAGAGCATATGGATGACTTTAATGCTGCATTTAATCCAAGGATCTTATTCCCTAATTTTGTCCTTTAATATCTGTGCAATTCAAAACACTTCATCAAATTTTGTTAATGTCCACATTGCTGGTTCTGCTTCAGTTTCTTTTTCTTCATCTTCCTCTTCTTTTATAGATGACTCAAGTCCTTCCAATTCCTCATTTGTTAACACTTCTTGTGGCTTTCTTTCAGTATGTTGTTCCACTTTGTCAAGCATGTGGACAAATCTTCTCCACCAACTTGTATGTATGAATGATTTTCCTAACTTCTCCATTAATCGCTGGGAAGCCTTTAAAATCAATCATGACTTCACTCCATAAGTTCTTCCAGCAGGCATTTGCAGTTTCTAGTTTTAATTCATCCATTGCAGCTCTAATGAATGTTGCCATACAGAGAATCAGGAAGGTCTCAACTTGAATAAGAAAAAAAAATCAATTAACAAATACCAACAGAGATAATGCAGATTTTGGAATATTTAACAAGGGTTTTAAAGGAACCATTGTAAAATACTTCAACAAGCAATTATGAGCATACTTGAAGCAAGTGAAAAAACTGAAAGTTTCAGCATAGAATTAAAACACATAAAGGCAAACCAAATGGAAATTTTAGATATGATAAATATAGTAGCAAATGAAACAGCAGAATACAGAGAACTAAGGATAGAAGTAGTAAACTCGAAGAAATAACCCAATCTGAACAAACAAGAGAAATAGACTTAATAAAATGAATAAAAGCTCAAGCCTGCAGATGGTGTGGAGGTTAGGCTGCTGAATCTCACATAATATACTGTAATAAAAGTTATGTGAATGTGGCCACTCTCTCAAAATATCTTATTGTACTGTACTCATCCTTCTTGTGATGATGTGAGATAATAAAATCAACAGCACTGAGATGAAGTGAGGAGAGTGACATATGCATTGTGACATAACATTAGGCTACTATTGAGCTTCTAATGATGTGTCAGAAGATTTACTTTAGGTGGTCTTGGAGGATTGAACCATTATGTTCTCAATGGTTGGATGTCAGGAGCAGATGATCTCAGTGGTTGAGGATCCTCAATAGTTGAAGGAGTTTTTATGCCAAAACCTTTTGGAAAAACATTGTAATCAGAAGTTGTCTCTTTCTCTTTAACTCATCAAAGTGTTGCTGCAGAGGTTGTAAATCTTCAGAGAGCATATGGATGACTTTAATGCTGCATTTAATCCAAGGATCTTATTCCCTAATTTTGTCCTTTAATATCTGAGCAATTCAAAACACTTCATCAAATTTTGTTAATGTCCACATTGCTGGTTCTGCTTCAGTTTCTTTTTCTTCATCTTCCTCTTCTTTTATAGATGACTCAAGTCCTTCCAATTCCTCATTTGTTAACACTTCTTGTGGCTTTCTTTCAGTATGTTGTTCCACTTTGTCAAGCATGTGGACAAATCTTCTCCACCAACTTGTATGTATGAATGATTTTCCTAACTTCTCCATTAATCCCTGGGAAGCCTTTAAAATCAATCATGACTTCACTCCATAAGTTCTTCCAGCAGGCATTTGCAGTTTCTAGTTTTAATTCATCCATTGCAGCTCTAATGAATGTTGCCATACAGAGAATCAGGAAGGTCTCAACTTGAATAAGAAAAAAAAATCAATTAACAAATACCAACAGAGATAATGCAGATTTTGGAATATTTAACAAGGGTTTTAAAGGAACCATTGTAAAATACTTCAACAAGCAATTATGAGCATACTTGAAGCAAGTGAAAAAACTGAAAGTTTCAGCATAGAATTAAAACACATAAAGGCAAACCAAATGGAAATTTTAGATATGATAAATATAGTAGCAAATGAAACAGCAGAATACAGAGAACTAAGGATAGAAGTAGTAAACTCGAAGAAATAACCCAATCTGAACAAACAAGAGAAATAGACTTAATAAAATGAATAAAAGCTCAAGCCTGCAGATGGTGTGGAGGTTAGGCTGCTGAATCTCACATGGCCAACTACACGGTTCAAGTTCTGGATTGGACAACTTGAAAATCATGCAGGGCACATGTGTGAGCATGTCCAAAGTCGTGAGAGGAGACTGGAGAAGGGATTGCCACATGGCCAACCCCCTAGGGACATGATTTCTCACTTTCCCTATCTCCTCTCTCTGACAACCATAAATGCTTTTTTTAGTAAAAACTAAAAGAAAAACAATTAAACTAAATTAAAAATGAATAGACATGTAGGACTATAAAACATAACCAAAATACTATTATCATATCTAAAAATATTCAGAAGTATTCCTTAACATTATCAAATATCCAGTAAGCATTCAAATCTCTCTAAACATCTCATACATGTATATTTTGTACTTGATTTGCTTAATTCAGGATGCCCTGAAGGTCTGTACACTGCACCAGGTTATATTATGTCTTAAGTGCTTTTAACATATAGATTCTACTTTCCTCTTTTATCCTCTTGACTGTATATTGAGTAAGTGCGTTGTTTGTCCTGTAAGTTTTCCACATTCTGCATTTTGCTGATAGTAGCCTCTTGATGTCATTTAATATATTGCTCTCTACTTTGTATTACCTGTTAATTGATAGCTGGATATACATATGATAGATCCAGGTTCAATTTTTTAATTAGGCATAGCAGCTTCATAGGTGATGCTGTTTACTTTCAGGAGGTATAGATGTCTCTTTGTTGTTCTGTCATGTTAAGATTGATCAGGCATTGTTAACCTGTTCAAACCTTTTTAACATTAGCATGATTTTAGCAACCATCTGTTGTCATTGCCTGGATACATTATTTAATTAAGGGTTGTCAAATCCTGGACTTACAGCTATACACGCTGAATTTTCTTTTCTTTTCTTTTTTTTTTTTTTTTTTTGTGCCAAAGGATGCATATGCTCATCAGAGAGAGAGAGAGAAAGAGGGAAAAAGTGAAAAAAACACCTCCCATGGGAAATGGTCATGCTGCAATCCCTTCTCCTCCATCAGTCCCTTGTTTTGGGATTTTGGACACACAGACACATGCACGTCCAATGTGTCTCTGAAGCCACAGGGTCTGAGACTCAAACTATGCAGTGGGCTCTGTGGGATCTGACTACCCCAACCACCAGGCCACAAAGTCAGCCCCATAATAATCTTTTTAATGCTTGTATCTTACCAAATCTTTTTCCTGTTTAAAACTCTTCAATTTGCTTCTCTTAAAGCAAAGGAGAAAGTTCAAGATCCTCGATATGGCATACCAGAACCCCCATGATAACATTCCAGACCTCTCTTTCATTATTCATTCTATCCTATAATTAATGTTCCAGCAACACTAGAGTGCTGGTAGTTTTCCAACGACTCTATGCTGTTTCTCATTTCTGTGCCTTTATTCATGTTATTATTACTGCATAGAGCTCTTTTCCTCTTCTTTACCATACTGACTTGTACTCATCCTGTAAAACTCAACTTTATAACATATTCTCCAAGAAGTCATCTCTGAAACCTCCTCCTTTCCTTTCCCCTGCTCCATAGGTACTCTCCTGTAATATACTATATATACCACAAAAACTACATTCCCATGTTACTTTTTATATATGTATATCACCTTACTAGATTAAGATCCTTAAGATCAGCGACTATATTTTCTTTATCTGTAGCCTCAGAATATTATTTCTTTTCTTACAGTACATCCTCAATATAGATTGATCAAATGAATGAAGTTCTTCATTTGATCCTTATACTTTTTTTTTTAATTT